AGCGGCTGGGCTCTGTGGTTTCCTTTCTTTGTCTGAAACACCACTGCCGGACCCAGCAGTGGGGAGCACAGCAGAACCCCATGCTTTGTCAGGCATCTGCAGACTTAGTCACTGTTCGCCCCTGCTGCTCTGCTCACAGCAGCTCGCCCTACTGGGCTGCCTGCCCGCACGCACACACACACACACACACACACACATACACACACACACACACACTCTCTCTCTCTCTATTCCTCCTGGCAGAAGGAAGTGCCTCCATAGGCTCTCTCCCCTCTGCTGGCTGGCCTGCGAGCTCCCAGCTGAGCCACAAGCTCCCAGCTGCATGGCTGAGTGTGCTTTCCTCCTTTCCCATCTCCTCGTTTATTCCCGGGTGCCCACCTTTAGGCATCCGTGTGCGGGTCTCCCAGGTGCGCATCTGTGTTGAGCAGGGACTTCTTTGATGAATTATAGATGGTTAACTTGTTGAAATGTCAGGGGGAGAGGAAAAGATGTGCCCTATACCACCATTCCTCTGATGTCACTCTAAGATCATCACCCTTGACTGAAAAATTTTGGTCCTGAAAGGTCTCCCCTTCTTGGCCTCAGCATGTTGCAGCATCTAAGCCTACAGGTACCTTTTCTCTTTCCTTCCCAAAGCTTTCTTAATTGCTTTGATTTCTAAAAATCTTATATTTCAGTTTGGTGCTAATAAATTGTAGAAATAGCTATGTGGATCAAAAGTGCTCCTAATTTCTAAACATAACTTCCTATACTGATAAATCTCATTATTCAATATCAGAGTTTTAATTAGCAAAAGATAAGGATATTACAGTTACAAGGAAGCATTATGAAATAATAATACTGACACACTGAAACTTATTTTAACTATGATGTCCACGTGGTTGATGGGTTTGAGAGTGACAGTTGCAATTTATTTTACAATTTAATTAGCTTATTAAATTCTACAACAGTACAATATTGCCAAATCAAAAATATGCATTTGTTTTTAATATTTTGACTGAAAAGGTTGATGTGAAAGAAGGTAGCCTATACACTTTTCTGTCAATGCTGGTTATATATATTTTTTAATTATCAAAAGGTCTCCTGTTACTCTCCCTGCTGCAGCTGTGATTCCCTCATCAGTTCCCAAGACACACCACACCCCTCCATCCTGCCTCCAGACAATTCTCTGTACAGTGTTCCCTCTATCCGGATCCCTTCTCCATCCTTCCTCTGATACCATCTCCACTGGTTTCAGCTGAATATCACCTCCTGAGGGAAGTCTTTGTTAACCCCACCACATCCATCCGCCCTCAATAAGGTTAAGTTTTCCTGACTTATTCCCATGGCACCTAATACTTCTTCATGGCACTCTACACACTTACAATTATTTAACTGTAATTTTTCCTTACTAGCTATGAGATCCATAAGAGCAAGGACCAACAGTTTGATTCAACAACGTATTGGTGATCAATAAGTATTTGATGAATGGAATTTTAATTGAGCTATCTTGATACAGTTTCCTTCTATTAAAAAAATTAAAGTTGTGCTTAGTTCTACCTACTATATTCTAATATTGCACAATGTATCTCTAAAGGTTAAATGTGTATTCACTGTGTAACTACAAAAGCAAGATTTCATTTTCTTCATAAAGATGCAAAATTATTACTATTTTAAAATGTTTAGATGTAAGATTACACTGACTCATAAAACTATAAGTAGTTATAAAAAAAGAATTAATGCCTGAAAAAAAAAAGAGTTAATGTTTGAAGATTATCCTTCAGGAAATCTGCTAAGTGCTAGGCTAAAAAAATGGGCACTGTCCTAGGACCAGGAAGGACAGGGTTGTACATTTAAAAGACACCACCCAGCACGGTCAGTGTGACTCAGGTTGAGTGTCAACCTATTAACCAGGAGGTCAGGGGTCAATTCCCGGTCAGTGCACATGCCTGGATTGCAGGTTTGACCCCCACTAGGGGGCCTGCAGGAGGCAGCCTATCAATGATTCTCTCTCATCATTGATGTTTCTACCTCTCTCTCCCACTCCCTCTCTGAAATAATAAAAATAAAAAAATAATAAAAGGTACCACCCAGAAACATGTCCTGCCCTTTCTGTGTTCAGGACATTTACTCACTAAGAGAACATGGAGTTATATATATAATTCTGCTTAGGAGTTTAGCAGAAAGAACAGGCTGGCATACAAGTGTGGGATGAAAAAATTAAGCAGACAATTTATTCCTATTCATCAGAGGACTTTTTAGCAAACATTAAAAACTTTGTATAATACAATTTTGTAAATTAATAATGCAATAAGTGAGCAATAACAAAAGATACAGAATTACCTAATATTCCCATATCTGTCCATACTGAAAGAACCATGCTTGACCACCATCTTGAAAGGTGGTTGCTGTTAGCAAGGTTTCCAACCATCATATGAACAAGGCCCTTAACAAAGCAATCCATTTCCTCCAGAGTGTCACTAATGGGATTGAAACAAAAAGGTGATTCTGGCTACACTGAAAAGCATCAAGTAAGAAGGGACTATTCTTCTTAATGACTAATTCTTGTGCACCTTACTACATGTCAGCATGGTGACGGAGGCTTTACCATCTCATTCACTCTTCCCCAAGACCCTGAAATGCAGACAGTTATCCTCATTTAACAAACAAGTAAATAGGTTCAAAGAGTTGAAATAGTTTGCCCAATGACATATAACTGCTAGTAGGAAAGTTAAAATTTAATTCTAAAGCCTATGCTCTTTCCTTTATAACCTCTCTGGGGAAGTAAAGTGATTAATGAGGTATCATATTAAAATTGCAAACAAATATGGATTCTCTCTGCTGTAACTGTGCATTCTAAAATGGAAAATCATGCTCCCATACAAAATACATGTGCAAACAAAACCAAGAAGGCTAGTGATGGGAAAGTCAGGTGGCTCCATCCCACTCCCGCCACAGGATTCAAATCCATGCCTTAGCAAAATGTCTACTTTACTACATGGCATGGGCCTTCAGGTAACCGTAACAAAATGTCCAATCTATACATGCCAAGGGCCCACTGTTTATAATCACAATACTTACATTTCATTCTAAGGACTAAAGCAGAAATGACTGCATATTTACTGCAGGATAAAGCACATAATTAATCATATTAATGCTGGGGACCAAGATTTTTTGTATAATAGAAATGAGATTCAAGTGTAATTTGAAAGTTTTGAAGGTCTATAACAGTGGTTCTCAACCTTCCTAATGCCGCAACCCTTTAATACAGTTCTTCATGTGGTGACCCCCAATTTCATTGTTACAAACTGAACATAATTAAAGCATAGTGATTAATCACAAAAACAATATGTATTTATATAAGTGTTTTCCAATGGTCTTAGGCGACCCCTGTGAAAGGGTCGTTCGACCCCCAAAGGGGTCGCGACCCACAGGTTGAGAACCGCTGGTCTATAATATTAAAATTGAATTGGAAGCATTAATGTCAAATCATGACTTATTTTTAATATACATTTCCAAGGTCTTTCAACTAGAAGAAATAATGAAGTAGCAGCAAAGAGCATCCCAAGCATCCAAGTGGCTTTCTAAATACCATCCCCTATAGAAAAGATCGGAGATCCTGAGAATGTTGGCTGGTTCTGGGTCTGAGAAAAGCAATAGAAACCTGAGCCTGGGAAATCTTGAACCATAAAACAAGGAAGTTATCAAAAATTGATGGATTCATGTCAAAAGGACACAAGAGAAAGACTGAGGGGACTCCCACTGACAAAATTTTGGGCAACCTGAGCATCAAAAGAATAGATTATCATTTATTGAAATACACTGACTACATAAAAATCCTTGAGCCTATGTACCTACTAATATTTTTTTAAATTACAGCCCTAACCAATAGGGAGTGGGAGGATCCTCTCATTTGGCACCACTGGAGTTGATTATTAACTTAACTCTTTAATATAGAGATTACAATACAAATTAATCAAAGAACCCCAGTTAATAAGACAAGGTTCTTTTACACAGAAGAATGCCAGTTTATAAATGTAAAGGAAAGGATGCAATAAAGGAAAAACCACCATTCTGCTGTCCCTGATAAATGAACTGATTCAAACAGGATTGTTACTGAATGCTAAAATCATTAGACAAAAGACTTACAGGGAAATAAATACTCAGAGTGTCAAAGTATTATCTCACAAATTACCTGCTAGCTACAAAGGGGGAAAAAGTTAACCTTTCCACGGAGCAGCCTCGTTATCATAATCTTAAGCAATCAAAATTAACATCACCATTAAAGATACACCAGATGTCCGGCCAGGGTGGCTCAGTGGTTTGAGGGTCGACCTATGAACCAGGAAGTCATGGTTTGATTCTTAGTCAGGGCACATGCCCAGGTTGTGGGCTCAATCCCCAGTAGGGGGTGTGCAGGAGGCAACCAATCAAATGATTCTCTCTCATCACTGATGTTTCCATCTCTCTCTCTTGCTCTCTCTCCCTTCTTCTCTGAAATCAATAAAAATGTTTTTTAAAAAAAGATACACTAGATAACAAATCCTTCCTGACATGATGCACTAGGAAGTACACCGCATCACCTACAAAACACCTGTCAAAAATATTCAACTTAAATCTAATCAAGGCTTTAGATCTAACTTTCGATTTGCAAGGAATAGAGGAATATAAATCAAGTTAAACATCACCATACAGAAACAACTTGATAAATCCAGAATGTGGAACATTCTACAAATAGTTACCATTAGACCTTTCAGATCAGATCCTTCAACAAGTTCATGTCATGGAAGAGAGGAAGCAGGAGGGAACCATCCTAGATTAACACAAACTTAAGAGGCATGACAGCTGCATGCAATCCGTGAGACCTGTCTCAGCTCATACACTAGCAGTTAACAGACACTATATGCTCAGTATCTCCTCACATGCAAATATCCATGAAAACCAAACCAGAATAGAAAAGAAGAACATTTTTATTAACTCTCCAACCTATGGAAATTAACACCTCATTGCATTTTACTCACCTCCACTTAGCAGCTTCATGACTAGCCACAGCTCATCTTTTACTACAAACGACGTGTAGTAAGACACAATGTTAGGATGATGGCACTGACTCATGGCTTGAATTTCTTTCTACAAAGAAGAGAAAACATAACTCATTATATGCAGGTCTGAAACAACACTACAAGTTAGTGAACACAGCCTGGGAATCCCAAGACTATGCCACAACCTTCCTGGGATCCCCATGGCCCGGACCTCTTCTCGAACAGTTACAACCAGGACCACTTCGTTACCCTCAGTCCATTCTGACTCTGCTCCTTGACTCACTGCATCAGTAATCTGTGGAACCGGAAACATGGACTGTGCCCCACACCCTGGCCTGGCCCAGGACCACAGAGGCCTCCCCGGGGGCACATATTTTTACTGCAAGGTGCCCTTGGAGAACCATCTTGGGAAATCTGGCTTTACAGCCAGAAAGGATCATTACTAATAAATAGAGGGTGCTCTTTGTTTGTTTGTGGGTTGTTGTTTTCTTTCAAAATATTGTTTCATCCCATTTTTGTGAAATGATTAACAACTCTCACTCTAAAGAGAAATATACTGAAACAGGGCAAGGTCATAAACTAAATCCAAAGTAGAAGTCTGAGCCAAAAGTCTAAGCTTACACAACTTCCATTAGTGAATTTAGATTAGGTTTGGTATGATGATAAAATGCCTGCTAAGGCCCTGTGTGATCAGGGCCCTGCTCCTCTCTAGTCTCATTCCTACTCCCTCATCCTTACACCCCAACATAGCCCCGTCCTAAGGTCCAGCCAAGTCACTTCAAGTGAGCCATGCTTCTTCTAACCACGGACATTTCACCCCACTGTTCCCTCCGCCTCAAATACCGTCCCCTCATTATTTCTGCCTAGCTAAACCTGCCAATGCTTCCTTCTGAACTCCCAGATCCCCAGGCTGAGTTAGGTATCCCTTCTCTTGGCTTCTACGCTCCCTGTATATATCCTTACATCATAGTACCCTGGGGCCTTCGTTGTCTGTCCCTCCTTGCGAGACAGAGAGCTCCTAGAAGGCAAGTACTTAAAAGTGGATTCCTAAGCATCGTGGGACTTGGCACACTCTATGTAATTGCCTAGTGATGTTTCTGTATCCCTCATAAAACTGGAAACTCGAGGAGAGCTAAGACTCTATTTCTGGCACGTATCACTGTGCCTGGCACACCTTCAATAAATATTTGTTGAATGAATGAATCCTACAGCACTTTATACAGTTTTTTACTGATTCATGTATTTGCCCTGTGACCTTGGTATTTGTTTAGTAAAATCAATTGTGTAAAAGTTGCCCATAATCCCTGCTTGATAAGAAGTGCTCAATAACTGGCAGTTTTTCTTTCCTCATCTTCTCTACTTGAATGTAAATTGCTTTGTGGCCAGGACCTGTTGCGTGTATTGTTGCAACCCCCAAGTCACCAGCACAATCTTCTGTACGAAAAGCTAAGTAAACATGAAGGAAAGGAAGAAGGAACTAAAGTAAGCACCTGCCCGCTAACATAGTTATACAGGATTCGAAGCGATAAGTACATATGAGAGGGAATACACAGGACAGCACATATATGTGCTGAGATTTTACAGCGGTACAGGTGAAATGCACATATAATTATTTTTAAAAAGATGAAATATGCAAGGAAGATTATAGGGCCCAATGAGTAAACTTGTCTGGGGTCAATACTTCATGCTTTCAACAGATATTTACCAAGTGCCAACTGTATGCCAGGCACATTAGGTGCCTGGTCACTATGGTGAGCCCTCAGGAAACGTACAGTCTGGTAAAGAAGTAAGACAAATACTAATTTACAGCACAGACCGAAGAACAGTTTGATAGGGGAGGTACAAGATACTACATGACTTTATCCGAGAGGCAAATTATCGAAAAATAGGAGTGATCATCAGGGAAGGCTTCCTGTAACAAGTTTGACTTCACTGATACTGAAATAAGAAAGATAAGTAGGTTTTTACCAGTTTTGATTGTTTAATTACCTGGGACCACATAAAAAAGGATCTTATAACTATATTCAAGATTTTAAATTTTATCCTTAGAGCAATGGAAAGGAATCAAAGGTTTAACTATATTTCTTTTTTCGTAACACTCACTCTGGCTACCGTGTAAAAAATAAATGAGAAAAAGCAGGACCAGAGGCAAAGCCTCTGTTTAAGGCTGTTGCCATGATCTGGGTGAGATGGTGGTGGTCTGAAATACAATAAAAAGCTAAGTCCTCAGTTTTTATAACTGTACTGTGGTTATTCTACTATTAGGAGATGTTGAGTGAATAACATATGGAAACTTCTGTACCACTTTTGCAACTCTTTTGTAAATTTAAAATTATCTCAAAATAGAAAGTTAGAGAAAAGCCTGTGAAAAAATGTCTGGAGAAAATAAATGTAAGATCTGGTAGCTGATTTTCCCATCACACTTAGCAAAGGTTGTCAGACAAGAAAACATTTTGACAAGAGAAAGGAGCAATATATTGCCTCCTCAGTAATAACTGTCACATACGCTGCACCCCTGCAGTCAGCACTCGCTGGAGAGCCCAGAGCACCTTCTGCATTATAATGAAGTTTACCGTAAAATCACCACATTTTAGGTTTACTGTGTTGACCTACTAGGTTTTTTTAAGGTAAACTGAAAGGCTTCCTATCTCTCAGAGATGGAGCCCTTGGCACTCAGACCTCTGGCTCTGACACCATGAACGCCACAAATAAATCCGGCATTATTTATACTTCTCATGTGTCTGCAGGGTTTAGTGGGAGCTTACCTTTGTGCCCCTCCCCCACAAAAGCCAATTATCTTAAAACTGCTTTACTAAAAGTCACTTCCCCCAACCTTTACTTACTTGTCACATACATAAATACTACATTTGTAACATAGAGCTTACTGGAATATGTGGCCAAAATTTATGGAGATCTAACTGATGTTTTTTCCTTTAATTAGGCTATATCAAATTTCCTTTCTTCTAAAAGGCCCTATTGTAATAATACAAATATTACTTTTAAGAATGTCAAATTATATTTGAAAAGAGATGCTCTTTCTAATTTTGAACTAAGATTATAATCATTTTGTATTATATGAAGTAGAAAATAGACTTTAGTCAGAAAGACCTGGTTTTTAATCCAGACTGTCATTATCATATGATTTATTGCCTTGCAATAAAATGCAGCAACTACCCATCTCACAGAGGTGTTTGTGAGGTTAAAGTACACGTCAGTGCCTGCCACTGAAAAGATGTGTGCTATTACTTCCATGTGAACTTAGTCAAGTTATTTAAACTTTGAGCCTCCGTTTCTGTAATCATGAAGTAATGAATAAAACTTTCATTCCTCTTTACATTATGTATTATGTAAATGAACTGGCAAATGGTAGAAATTCATTTTGGGCTTCTCAAATTCCAGGCTTAATATATAAATTAAAAATACTGTTTTTCTTTAACAGAATTAGTTTACAATTTAGACTTCTTTTATGATCACTGTTGTTCACATGTCCAAATGATGCTCTAAGGTGTCGCTGGCATCTGTAAACCCAAGTTCATCAAATAGGGTTTCAATCAGCATCTCCATCCAAGTGTGGGTTCTCCCACCAAAGACAGCTCTAGGTCATGCCAGCAGCCGAGTTCCTCAGCTTCTGTCATGCATTACCAACACCTGAAGAAACACATTTGTCTCATCTTCTCAAAGTTCAACATAGAATTCTATTCCCTCTCTTCCTTTTATTTCAATTATTCCCTAATACTCTGTACTGACTACCCCAGAAGTTAAATCTAATCTGGGACACTGGAAAAAAACTTCTGACTGTCAGATCATCCTACTCCTAATCCTGCTCTATCACTAGCTGAATATGATCTCAGAGAATTTACTTAATAAATAACAATATTAATTCATAATTGTATGACAGTTTATAAAGTTTTCAAGTACTATGTCACTTGATCTTCAGGAGAAACCTCATAAAGTCCATTTTAAGCCGAAGAAATCAAAAATTTAAAAAGGAATGATTTGAAAAGCTATCTTATTTCCCTTGCTGAAATACTTAAAACTACTATATTTACTACATACTTAAAACTACTCTGGGTGTCATGGTGCATAAAAGTACAAAACAATCCCTGTGTGGCTAGCTTTCAATGCCAGAGACCATCTCTTAAGGCTATGGATCGTTGGGACTCCCTTTCTTCTCCCTTTCCCTAGCCTTTACGGAAGCCATTGTTGCCTGGGTCATTCTATCTCTCATCTCCCATCAATGGATATTCCATTTGACCCAGGAATCACAATTGCAGGATACTATTTTTAGGAAAGAGAGAAATAACAATAAAAAAGAAGAAGCAAGGTAATGGTCCAATACCAGAGAATAGGGTAAAGTGTGGTCTACTTACTCGATGGGATACTACACACATATTGAAAATTATATTAATTCATATTTATAGACAAAAAATTGTGATAAATTTTTCAATAAAAAAGAACAAGTATATGATTCACATTATCATAAATATAAAGAGATGTTTAAATGTGCAGTCTGAAAGATTATACAGCAGTGTTAATTTCAGAATGAGAGGATTATCCTATTAATAAAAGCCTAATATGCTGTGTCCGGCCATCCGTTAAACCAATCAAAGCGTAATATGCTAATGATATGCTAAAGCCACCCAAATGCTCGCTATGATGAGCACTGACCACCGGGGGCAGAAAGTTGATCAGTTACCAGTTGCTATGACATGCACTGACCAACAGGGGGCAGACGCTCCAACCGGTAGGTTAGCTTGCTGCTGGGGTCCGGCCTATCGGGACTGAGCAAGACGGGCCAGACATGCCCTGGAGCCCTCCCACAGTCCCTCCCCGGCTGGCCAACCTCCCACATCCCTCCCCAGTCCCTCAGCCTGGCCTGCGCCCTCTTACAATTTGGGACTCCTCAGGGGATATCAGAGAGCTGGTTTCAACCCGATCCCGCAGGCCAGGCCAAGGGACCCCACTGGTGCATAAATTCGTGCACCGGGCCTCTAGTAACTATATATTCTCTCTCTACTTACCTGAATTTTTATATGTTTTACAATAAATATTACTGTTAATGAAAAAAATCACATGCTTTTTAAAAAGGAATAAAAAAACTTCAAGTTATTTCCCATTCCAACATGAATGTACAAGAGTACACCTCTCCACTTAAGAAATATGAAATGTGCATACCAGGAGCTCATCCATACTAGTTTGACATTTCTCAAGGTTTATCCGTTTGATTGCCACTTTCTCCTTTTTAGGGGCACAATATGCTGCTTGGACCACAGCCGTTGCTCCACTCCCTAAAGATAAATACATAAAAGAGTAAATGAATAGATGGGTAGATAAAAACATGACATTTCTAATTCCCACACAATTTAAATGAGAAGTTAACCCTTATCTTGTTCCTACACTCAATAGATGCAAAGAAACACTCTATAAAGCTAGGTGTCTATCAAAGCAAAAGCCTCAACTATTTCATAGAATTGCCAGTAAATACCAGTACCAAAAATAAAAATAAAGAATTGCTAGGGTTCCAGTTCTAGAAATTGATGGTATAGGCCCACATTTCTCTGATCCTTGCCTCTAAATACAACTAAATGCCCTGGAAATAACTCAACAATCATAAAGTGCCCATGAAATGTAGAAAGAAGGTGAACTGGCTAAGGACCTCAGAGTGTGAGGAAAAGCACCACTGTGAGTTCACTGGGTTTTCCATTTATCGCCCAAATATCCACGAATGGGCTCCAGGACAGCCTGCAACCTGAAACCACCAATAGGGATAGACAGACAGACAGACAAACAAACGAGAAGATCCTGCTTTCTGGCCAAAGGACTGTGAAAAGGGAAGCTAGGCAGAGACCCAGAGGGAGGCAGATTCCCCCATCCCTACCCAGGACAGTGAGAGAGCCAACCTACCACAGCATCAGTCGGCAGCAGCAGGGTCCCCCAGACCCAGACAGCAGTAAGCCAGATCCACCCAGGGGTGCTAGGTCCCAGACCCACACCTGGGGCAACATCCAGCCAATCTGCCCTTAGCAGCAGCAGAACTGGGGACCCACACCCACCAGTCAGCCCACGTAACACGTGCAGAGATCAAACAGGAGTCCCTGAGGTGCCCGAGAATAAAGCAGAAGAGACTAGCACTACAAGAGCTCTGAAAACTTAATTATCACAGGAATGACACAACTCACAAAAGTAGGCCAGGGCCTACCACTAAACCTAAATAGAGTAGCTGCCTACTAAAACAGAAGATTAAAGAGAACCAAGAGTCTCCTAACATTAGTAGCCTGAACGTACGGAATACAATTAAAACATAAAAATAACATGTCATACCAAGGGAAAAAAACACACACTTATATGAGAAAAGATATTCACACTGATGCCAACACCAAAATGAATCACATGTTGGAGAATTTTAAAGCAGCTGTTATAAAAATGCTTCAAGATTGGGGCGAGGGGCAGGTGCCGCCTAGAAGGGGTCAATGGGGGAAAAGGGGGGCATCTGTAATACTTTCAACAATAAAGATAAATTAAAACAAACAAAAAAGATAAAATATTCTGATATTAACACTCCGGTGTGGGGTGAATTTCCCGCCAAAATATAAGATGGCTCTGTCTTTTGGTTTTGTTCCATCCACCAAAAGGGTGGATTACAAACAAATATTTGGTAATACGCAGTTACAATCAGCCCGAGTTTACACGTTTCCCGCACTCCACCGCAAATCTATATGAAACGAGTTAAAGACGGCTCCCGCGGAGTACGCGCAATTCACGCGAGCCGACTTAACTCGTTTCCCCCACTCCAAGTGTTAAACATCTTAACAGAAGGAAAAAAAAATGCCAATAGAGCCTCAGGGAGCAGTGTGGATTAGATAATAATAGAAGATCTAAAGTCCATGTGGTAGGTAGAATAATTCCCCTCTCCCCAAGATGTACATGTCCTAATCTTTGAAACCTGTGAATGTGCTCACATGGCAAAAATTTTGCACATGTTATTAAGTGAAATTAAGGATGAGAAGATTGTCCTGGGGTCTTTATGAAAGGGAAGCAGCAGGGTTAGAAAAGGGTATAATACCCTGAAAGCAGAGGTCAGGATGATAAGAGCTATGAGCAAGTACTGACACATGGATATATGTGGATATAGATAACTATATGGATAACCTTGAAAACATGCTAGGAAAAATAAAAAATCACAAAGACCCCATATTGTATGACTCCATTTATATGAAATGTCCAGAACAGGCAAACCTATAGAGACAGAGTATAAATTAATTGTTGCCAGTGGTGGGAGAAGAGCAGAACAGGAAGTAACGGCTTGGTGGTACAGGATTTCTTTCTGGTGTGATGAAAATACTCTGGCCTGGCCGCCATGGCTCAGTGGTTGAGTGTCGACCTATGAACCAGGAGGTCAGGATTCAATTCCCGGTCAGGGCACTTGCCCTGTTTGCTGGCTCGATCCCCAATGTGGGACGGGCAGGAGGCAGCCGATCAATGATTCTCTCTCATCATTGATGTTTCTCTCTCTCTGTCCCTCTCCCTTTCTCTCTGAAATCAATAAAAATATATAAATAAATAAAAGTAAAGTTAAAAAAAAAGAAAATACTCTGAATTAGACAGTGGTGATGGTTACAAAACACTATGAATATATTAAAATCCACTGAATTGTACCCTTTAAAAATGGACTATGTAAATTTTATTTCAATTTTAAAATGATAAAAGAACACTACAAACTACTTTAACTCATAATTCTACAACTTAGAAAAAAATGGACCAAGTCTTTGAAAACAACTAACCAAACTCAGCCAAGATAAAGTAACTTGACTAATCCTGTAACTATTTTTAAAAAACAAATTTGTAATATAAAAGTTCTATAAAAAAAACAAAAAACAACCCCACACCCTGGCTGGGTGGGCTCAGTTGATTGGAGCGACATCCCAAACACCAAAATGTTTTGGGTTCAATTCCCAGTCAGGGCACATGCCTAGGTTGCTAGTTCGGTCTCCACTTGGGGCATACCTGAAGCAACCGATTGATGTATCTGTATCTCTCTCTCTCTCTCTCTCTCTCTCTCTCTCTCTCTCTCCCCCCCCCCCCACCCTCTCCCCATCCTCTCTCTCTGAAAAAACAAAAACAAAAATATCAATGAACATATCCTCAGCTGAGAATAAAAAAAAAAAAAAGAATCGCCATAGATGGTTTCAATGGAGAATCTTACCAAACGCTGAAAGAAGAATTAATAGCCATTTTACACAATGTTTCCCAGAAATGGAACAAAGATACTTCCCAATTTATTTTATGAAGCCAGAATTACCAAGACCAAAACCAGACAAAGACATCACAAGAATACACAAACCAGTATCTCTCGTGTACTTAGCTGCAAAATTCTTAAAAAATATTAGCAAATCAAATTCAGCAATAGATAATATACCACAACCAAGTGGTACGTATTCCAGATATGCAAGGCTGGTACAATATTTTTTTAAATCAAAATCAATGTAATATACTATACCAACAGGTTCAGGAAGAAAATCCTATGATCATATAAATTGACACAAAAAAACTTAAAAAAAAAATCCAACATTAGCCATGATAAAAAAATTCTCAGCAAACTAAGAATAGAGGAAAACTTCTTCAACTTCATAAGAACATTTACCAAACAACAACAAAAAAAAAACCTTACAGCTAACAACATACTTAATGATGAAAAATTAAATGCTCTCCCTAAAAGACTAGGGGAAAGGCAAGGATGTCCATTCTCATCACTCTTATTTATCATAGTAATGGAAGTCCTAGCCACCACAATAAATCAAGAAATAAATAAAAGACAACCAGAAAAGAAAAAATAAAACTATCCCTATTTGTACATGACATGATTATTTATAAAGAAAATTCCAAGGAATCTACAAGAAAAGTACCTAGAACTAAAAAGAGAGTTTAGTAAGGTTGCAAGACATAAGATTCCAATTCCACTTCTATAAACTAACAACAAACAAGTGGAAACCAAAATTTTAAAACACAATAACATTAACAAGTAATCCCAAAAAATGAGTCTTTAGGTACAAATCCAAAAAAATCTAAACAGAAAAAAATATGCTTGATATTACAAAATTCCAATTAAATAGAGTAAAGAAGGACTAAATAATTTTAAAAACTCAACACAATAAAGATGTCAATACTCCCAAATTAACTACATATAGGTTTAATGCTATTCTATCAAAATCCTGGCAATGTATTTTGTACACATAGAAAAGCTTATTCTAAAATCTATATAATAAAAGCCTAAGTGACCATTACGAGGGAATGACCAGAATGACCTGTCGCTATGATGCACACTGACCACCAGGAGGCAGACGCTCAATGCAGGAGCTGCCTCCTGGTGGTCAGTGCACTCCCACAGGAGGAGCGCTGCTCAGCCAGAAGCCGGGCTCACAGCTGGTGAGTGCAGCGGTGGTAGCAGGAGCCTCTCCTGCCTACGCAGCAGTGCTAAGGAGCAGCGAGCAGGCGGGTGTGGTAAGGAGCGAGGGCTCCCAGACTGCGAGAGGGCACAGGCCGGGCTGAGAAACACACACACACACACACACACACACACACCTGCCTCAGTGCATGAATTTCGTGCACCGGGCCTCTAGGTATATATAAAGGGAAGACTCTAGAATAGCCAACACAATAGTGAAAAATGTGAACAAAGTTAAGGGATTTATACTTCCAAATTTTAAGACTCATATTTAACAGCAATCAAGACCGTGCAGTATTGGCAGAAGACTACACACACACACACACACACACACACACACACACACACACATACACACACACAGCAGAATAGAAAACCCATTCACACCAATGTGTCCCACTGATTTTGCCAAAGGTGCAAAAGCAATTCAATGGAGATGAGATAACCTATCAGAATGGCTGAAAAAAAAAATTTAATGAGAACACCAAATGCTGGATCACTCGGACACTAATTGACTGGTGAAATAGAAAAACTGGTATAGCCACTCTGGTAAACTGTTTCACCATTTCTTTTAAAACTAAAAATGGCCTTGTATAACTCAGCGTTTGTATGTTGGGTATTTATCCCAGAGAAATAAAAACGTATGTTTACACAGAAACTTATTTATGAATGTTCATAGCAGCTTTATTTATAACCAAAAGCTGTAAACTACCCAAAAACCTTCAACAGATGAATGGTTAAACAAATGCGGGTAAACCCATATGGAGGAATACTACTCAGCAATAAAAATAAACCACTGAAATGCACAATTACTTGAAGGAATGTCAAGGGCATTATGTTGAGTGG